GAGGTCTCGTTCGGTAACGGAATTACCCAGACAAATCGCTCCACCAACTAAGAACGGCCATGCACCACCACCCATAGAATCAAGAAAGAGCTCTCAGTCAAGAATGTTCTATTTGCTATTGATGATGATAAAGCTCCAGGGCCTGATGGTTACTCATCTTGTTTTTTCAAAAAGTCTTGGGATGTTATAGGTGGGGATTTCTGCCGTGCAGTAAGGGATTTCTTTGAGTCTGGCGCCATGCTTAAGCAAATCAATCACTCTATCATTGCTTTAATTCCTAAATCTACCAACTCTTCTTTTGCCTCTGATTTTCGTCCGATTTCCTGCTGTAATGTTATATATAAGGTCATTGCTAAGCTCCTTGCAGCGAGATTATCTCATGCTCTCTCAAATATTATTAGTCCTATGCAAAATGCTTTTTTGGGTGGTCGACTTATGGCTGACAATATTCATTTGCTCCAAGAGCTTCTCCGAGATTATGAAAGGAAAAGATCTTCTCCCCGTTGCTTGTTGAAGATTGATTTTAGAAAAGCCTTTGATTCAGTCCAATGGCCTTTCCTTCGACAGCTCTTGTTAATGCTTGGTTTTCCCAACCACTTCGTTCACTTAATTATGCAGTGTGTTGAGACTGCTTCATATTCTATAGCCGTTAATGGTAGCATCTTTGGCTTCTTTCCAGGGAAGAATGGGGTTCGGCAAGGTGATCCTTTATCCCCATATCTCTTTCTTGCATGCATGGAATATCTCTCCAGAATGCTTCGTATGGCTTCTCTATCTCCTGGCTTTCGGTTCCACCCCAAATGCAATTCTCTAGGCATTTCCCATCTTGCTTTTGCAGATGATGTGATTCTACTTTCAAGAGGAGATAGGCAATCTGTTTCTACTCTTTTTTCGCAACTAGTTTCTTTTGGAAAGGTTTCCGGTCTAGAGATTAATGCCAACAAATCCTTTATATTTTTTGGAGGAGTCACAGACAGCATTAAGCAGCTCATTCTCCAGGACACTGGCTTCGTTGAGGGATCCTTCCCATTTCGCTATCTTGGCGTTCCCTTAAGCCCCCACCGTCTCCTAGCCAGTCAGTTCTCTCCCCTTCTCAACAAGATTCACTCTACTATTTATGGTTGGCTGGGGAAGCATCTTAGCTATGCTGGGAGAGTGGAGCTTCTCAAATCAGTCCTTTTTGGCATGGTTCACTTTTGGTTGAATATATTCCCTGTCCCCGACACTGTTATCAAGCAAATCACGTGTCTCTGCCGAAATTTCTTGTGGACTGGCAATGTCTCTAGGAGTAAATCTGCTTTGGTAGCTTGGCGTACAGTTTGTCTTCCTAAAGCTGAAGGTGGCCTAGGCTTGTTTGACATAAAGGCTCGCAATAACAGTTATCTTGCCAAACACATATGGAACATTCATCTTAAAGCTGATTCCATTTGGATTCAATGGGTCCATCATTACTATTTACATTCTCACTCCATTTGGAACACCGCAGCTTCCCCAACCTCCTCGCCTTTATGGAAATCCATCATCATCCTACGTGATAATCTTGTTGAAATGGGAGGTGGTCAATCCAATACTGTCTCTCTGATGGCTCACTGGAGCACCTCTACAGGTCCTTTCACTGCTCATGCTTATGATTTTCTTCGGGTTCGTAGCTCTCTTGTCCGGTGGAGAAACGTTGTCTGGGAGTCTTGGTCCATGCCCAGATACAATTTTATCCTGTGGTTGGCTGTTTTGGGAAGGCTTCGCACGCGAGATAGACTCCACTTTCTCCAAACTGATTCCTCTTGTGTCTTCTGCCAAGTGGAAGAAGAGAGTCATAGCCATTTGTTCTTTGGTTGCACTTGGACCTCTTCTCTTTGGCTTAAGATCAAAAATTGGCTTCGTATATCAAGGACCATGTCTTCTCTGCTCAGTGCCATTCGGGGTCTCTCAAGAATCGGTAACAATGCAGTTGGAAGAATGAGGAGAGCCTCCCTTGGTATTCTGGTTTATATAATCTGGGATGAGAGGAATAAAAGGATATTTGAGGGGAAGTGCACCACCATTGATTCTCTCTTTCGTAAATTTCAGGTCTTGTTCTTCACTGTTTTTCATTTTCATGAGCGAGACCACTTTTCTCTCCATATTGGATGACAAGATATTTTTTCCTGGTTTTGCCTCCCTGATTCTTGGGGGTGCAAGTTGTCTGCCTTCCTCTCGTCCTCTCGTCATTGGCCAGCTTCGTTCATCTTCTTCATTGTGTTTATGATCGGGTTTGCCTCTCTATTTGGTTTCTTGGGAGTGCTAATCTCCTTCTCTCTTTGTTCCAGCTGGTTAGCTCGGCTGGTAGTGGCGGGTTCTTCAATTCAGCTTCGGAGGTGGAGGTGGTTGCTGTTACTCCTGGCTTTCTTCACGTCGTTCTTGCATGGTTATGCAAATCTCTTGCATAATTAATTGCTATGGCTCTTCTGTTGTTCTCTTCTGATTGGTCCATTTGGTTGTTTCCCTCCATCATCAATTTTGCTGTTAATAGCTCATCTCCACGTGGGGAATCTTCTAGGTGGGCAACTCTCCTTTTGCTGCAGCCTCTTCAATGCTTCTCCCTGCCCCAAGTTGCTGCGTGCTCTCTTCATTGGTCTAGCTGCTTGTGCATTCACGTGGACTTTGATGGTTCCCAAGGCGCCTTTATTTGGTTTAGTGGCTTAATTGCATGGCTTCAATGGCTTGCATGGCTTGCATGGCTTCCTCTCCTGCATTCAGCTTTCTATTTCTTTTCCTGTGTTGCTGCTGCGGCTGATTCTCCTTCATTGGCTTCATGCTTGCTTTCTTTGGTGTTCATCTTCTCGGCTTTTTACTTTGAATGGCTTTCATTGCTTTGCTATGTATACTGTTAAGTGGGCTCCTTATTCTTCGATTTCCCTCTTAGCTTGTGTCGACTTTTACTCGATTTGTTTCCTTTTGTTTGCTAGTTGGTCAATAAGGGAGCCTGTTCCCTTTCTGATCATCTTTGCTTCTGAACCTGCTGGTTTGTCCAGCATTGTATATATTTTTTTGA